AAAGTCTATTCAGACCACGAGACGTTAAGGTGGTTGAAGACTCGGGCCAAAATGACACTTAAGCTGACTAGGTGGGCCGCAGAGATAGACCAATATGACTTTGAGCCCAAGCCAGTTAAGGGCAAGTATAATGTAGTTGCGGATGCTCTAAGTAGGAGATCAGACTACTTTGGAGCGATAGTCCTTTATCTGGATATAGGGAAAGAACTGCAACAGAAAGTCAGGGAGGCGTATGCGCAGGACCCTATCTACAGTGGCCTTCTTAAGAAAGTTAGGGAGGCCCCAGAGACGAGCCAGATTACCGCACTATAGAGGGGTTGTTATTCGAGAAAACTAATGTAGTTGACCGATTGTGCATTCCTAGTAGTGAGGAGATCCGTAGCCTGATCCTAGGGGAATGTCACGACACTGAGGGACACTTTGGTTGGCAAAAGTCCTTGGCCAATCTGATGCGCGCGTACACTTGGCCAGGGATGAAGAATGACTGCATATAATATGTCCGCAATTGTAAAGTGTGCCAGAGGAACAAGACCACCACGCGTGCCCCTCAAGGTCTTCTCCGACCCCTGCCTATTCCTGACCAGCCCGGAGATTCAGTGTCCATTGACTTTATGGACGCCGTAGTCAAGAGTAGGCATGGTAAGAGCCAAGTCATGGTCATAGTTGACCGATTTAGTAAGTATGTTGTTTTCGCTTCGTTGCCCTCAGAGGCACGCACAGAGGTAGTTATTTAGAAGTTCTTTTATCATTGGGTTAGTGAGCATGGCATCCCATTGTCTATAGTTAGTGATAGAGACACCCGGTTTACAAGTCAGAACTGGCAGGAACAGATGAAAGTATATGGATCACAGTTGTTGATGTCGTCTGGCCGCCATCCAGAGACTAATGGACAGACTGAACAGATGAACAAGATCCTGCAGCAAGTTCTGCGCATGTACATTAGACCGGATCAGATCAACTGGGACGAGATGTTGCCCAAGGTAGCCAGTGCGTACAACAACAGCGTGCACTTGTCCACCTGTCGCACTCCCAATGAGTTGCACAAGTCGTTTAAACCGCGCAGGCCGTTTGAGGGACTTAACCGGGATCACATTCACAGGCTACCCCCCGGTACTAGGGAGTTCGCGATGCAGCACGAAAAAGAATTAGCTACTGTTGTAGAGAACCTCAGGAAGGCCCAGCATAGGATGATAGAGCAAGCCAACAAGCATCGTCGCCTATTGCAGTTTCAAGTAGGTGACTTAGTCTGGGTCATGTCGAAAGAGTTTGCTCCTGAGGAGAACATCTCGCAAAAGCTATTACCCGCGTATAGAGGACCGTGGCCAGTTCTAGAAGTTAAGGGTGGAGAGGATGGGTCGTCCTACACAGTAGAGATTCCAGCGCACCTCCACACCTACCCTGTATTTCACACGTCAAAACTGATGCCGTGTGTCACAAGCCCACAATTTCCCTCCAGGAGATCCATGATCCCTCCAGATATGGATGGAAGGTATGACATTGACGGCATTGTAGGTGAAGATGTATTCAGAACAGGAGTTAGAGGTCATCCTCAGAAACAATACAAGGTTTGATTCGCATATCAGGAACCGGAAGACGACCGCTGGTTTACCAGAACTGAACTTCTAGAAACAGCTCCCGACATAGTTAGGGCCTACGAAAGAGACAGGAAAGGTAAAGGTCCCGTCTTGGACTGAATTGTTCTCGGAGGACCTCAAATTTAGGCCGGCGGGAGTGAAATGGTTTTCACCTTTGCAGAGGCGGATGCAGATCCCAGGGTTCGATCCCCAGACCTTACCTTACCCATGTACAGTATCGAGTTGACCCTTGAGTGTTTGAACCCGTGACCTGCGTATTCGCAACAATTGGTAGGCTGTTTTAGGTCCATAGGTTGTAGGGGATTTGATTTGTAGACCTGTCGAATAGGAGTCTTAGTGAGTTCTAGAAGTCGTAGCTGTAGCTCCTCCGAAGGGTCAAGGTCGTAGCTGCTACAGTACTGAAAGGCTAAGTCCACGGTCTTCCGGAAGGTCCGGAAGTGGCCTTTCGAGTCTCCTCTCACGTTTTACACAGAAGGCCAGAGGCAAGTGGGCAAGTGGTGCGTCTAACTTCACTTAGTCAGCGGTACCCAGTCCCAGTCTTACTTTGCACAGTCAGCAAGTACCAAGGGGGACTGTGTGCACCATGGGCCCGGTGGAAAGAGGCAGACCAACGAGTTACAGAAGTATAAATCAAGAGGCAGCGCACAGCCATTCATTCATTCCTGAGTAAGCCATGTGGAAGCGCTGCCATAGAGACTTGTGCGAGGTGGTCTGCAGTGAGCCCGAGGACGAAGTGGGCGAGAAGGAGATAGCCATAGCGATAGGGTAGTAGCGGCCATAGCCGCCATA